GTTTCTTATGCTGATCCTGGGTTTCAGTTTAAAAGAAAAGTATGAGGAATAACAACCTGAAATTTCTCATGGAAATCTGTTGTCTGCTTTTGATTGCAGTCCAGCCTAGCTATAGAGGAATTTTTAATGGAAGACAATTATTACTACTTAATGGAATTTCAGAGAGGAGTGCCCACTCCCTCAAATGAAGAGTAATTTTACCTATCTCTGCCAATATTAAAGAAAACCAAATAAAACTAAACTTGTCTTGAGCAGAGACTAAAGGATGGATCTTATTTCTCAGGTTCCTCATACAGAAAATGAGTTAAACACTTAATGCTCTTTAAAACCCCTCTCAACTTGAACTTATCTATGTGCACTTGTAAAGGATGGAAATTTTGGAATCAAACTGAAACAAGGAAGGATAATAACACCATAGAGAAGAGCAAAAGAATAAGGTAAAGGTCATGACAACAAGTAGCAGATTTTCTACAGGTGTGAACCGGGGTCCACAAACATCCTGAAGCATGGGAGGTATGACAAAGAGAAGTTGATATCTCTGCTCAGCAACCTGTTCTCTTCTTATCTTAGTTTTTCCTTTTTGTACTACATACAGTCTTTTATGTATGATGAAACTGAATTTAATGATTTACTCAGTAAATGACTAAACCCATTTGTCTAGGAAGTTATTGATACTCATGATCATGGAAGAATGGTCCATTCCCTCTTCAGTGACATCTCAGCGTTTTGTTGAATAATAGGAAAAGCCTCTTCTCAGTTTTCCATTTTTATGCAACAAAATATGTATATTCTAGAAAAAAAAATGTGGGTTTCCCAGCCCCTTCAACAGTTGGCCTGTGCCTGGATGGTCCATCCTTGATTGGGAGGACGCAAATATCAGAAAGACTGTGACAGCTGCATGTGGCTGTTCAGGAGATTTAGCTCTACTTAATTAATGGCTCCTAGGGCAGTCAGGGATGAGGATTAATGTACCAGGCTCTCATTAGTGTCTGTTATTTGGGTAGGCCGCGTGTGCTCTTGCACAGATAATATAGGAAAACATTATAACTAGACCCAGTCTTTAAAGATGGGTGGACTCTATTGATTATAGAGCATGATTTCCAGTTAGAGAATCACAAACATCTGGAGGCATGAGAGGTATTACAGAGCATTCATATTAGCACTGAGTATTGCCTCAGGCTAAATAAATAAGCCCCCAAGTGTATTATTATTTTTGCAGTGAATATAGAAACTTATGTATTGAATAAAATTCATAGTCATTGAAAATTTTTACCTAAATCACAAATATGTAATTTAAATAATATAAATGGAGAGATAGAATTACAAGAGTATAATTATTAACATGTGAGACTCCAGGACATATGCATGTCTGTATATGTGTCTGTGTATGTGTAGAGGGTTTGTGTTAAGTAATTTTTTGGTCTTAAATTTGTGAACCAATGTTCTAAAACCTGTCACATATGAGAGCACCCTATAAACATCAAGTAAAGTGGCTAAAATGGTACATATGCCTACAAGGTAGTGAGGCAAAAAAGGCTGAATGAAAAAATGTATATAATGTGTTAAACACGATATGTGGCACATAGTACCTGCTCAGTGAGTTTCAATCATCCTTATCAGTAGCAGTTATGATTATGTAAACTATTGGGAAAAGGATGTACTTGCTTGTAATTATATAAACTGGCAAATAAATGAAAACAGTTCCCTGCCCAAAGTAATGCAAAGTTGTTTATTCCATCTTCTTGCTCCCATAACACATTGTTCATACTTTGTTATTCCACATCACATTTTGTTGCAATCACTTATTCACAGGTCTCTCTTTTCCAGTAGACCATATGATCTTTGATAAAAAGGATGGTATCTTATCTTTGTATTCCTAATAGGTAGTGTAATCAGAACAAGTATGAGCTGGATACATTTGTTGTTGTTGTTAATCCTCACTCAAGGATATTTTTTTCATTGCTTTGTAGAGAGAGTGGAAAGGAGGGAAGGAGGGAGGTGAAGAGATACAAAGAGAGAGAGAGAGAGAGAGAGAGAGAGAGAGAGAGAGAGAGAGAGAGAGAAACATTGATGTGAGAGAGAAACATTAATTGGTTGTCTCATGTATGTGCCTTGACCAGGGCTGGAGATCAAGCCTGCAACCCAGGTACATATCCTTGACTTGGAGTCAAACTTACAACCCCTCGGTGTGCAGACTGATGCTCTAACCACTGAGTGAACTGTACCGGTCAGGGTGGATACATTTTTAATGCATATATAAAAATTTTTTCAAAAAATATACTGGAATTAATACACAAAGAGAGAGAGAGAGAGATTATAGGCATAATGGTCCCTAGGGCTGGTGAATTTACATGTGAAGAATTACAAGAGAGTTTAGAAAGAAATTCAAAATTTTGAGATAATTGAGAGATGACCATTTGTGGAAATAAGAATTATTTAATCTCAAAATAAAATCTAATATTATATTTATATTAGAAATAATATTTTTATTGTGCTTTATGTTTTATAGAACTCTTCCATAAGAATACCAGAACATGAGAATAATTTTTCTTATATTGTGCACCAAGAAACTAAACAAAAACTGTTTTATTTGGTTAAGGTCATACAACTAGAAATGGTAGAGTTGGGAATCAAACCCAAGTCTTGTAATTTCAAGACCAATGGTCTTCAACAAGTCATGGAATGTAGCAGGTATTATGTAACACTTATTAGTTATTATGGGGATGATCATGGCCGAGAATGAAGAGGGATGAACTTCATATAGAAAATTCTAAGATAACTTAGATAGTTAAAACATGAAATAAAATTATGGAAAAGTTTTACTTTTATATAAGGAACTAGAGGCCTGGTGGGTGAAAATTCATGCACTTGGGTGGAGGGGTCCCTCAGCCTGGCCTGTGCCTTCTCTCAGTCCAGGACCCCTTGGGGGATGTCCACCTGCTGGCTTAGGCCCAGTCCCCAGGGTTTCAGGCCTAAGATGGCAATCAGACGTCCCTCTGGCAGCCCAGGAGCCTTTGGGGGATGTCCGACTGCCGGCTTAGGTCCAGAGTGGGCCTAAGCTGACAGTTGGACATCCTTAGCACTTCCAAAGAGGTGAGAGAGGCTCCTGCCACCGCTGCTGCGCTTGCACCCATCAGCCTGGCTTGTGGCTGAGTGGAGGTCGCCCTGGGGAGTGCAGGATGTCCCCCTGGTGGTCAGTGTGTGTCATTGTGACCAGTTGTTCCACCGTTAGGGTCAATTTGCATATTACCCTTTTATTATATAGACTAGAGGCCCAGTGCACAAAAATTGTGTGTGTGTGTGTGTGTGTGTGTGTGTGTGTGTGTTTTTGTGTATATATATTTTGTTTTTAATATCCCACTTCTCAGATCTTTTATGGGTATAGGGTGTTGCTCTGCAGTTATAAATAGGAAGGCACAGATGAGTTTAAGTGTCTTATTCCCTATAGTAAAGTATGGCAATTATACCAATTGGAAAATAAAATATCAAGAAATGACTTTAAACAAACTAACAAATAAGCCAGTTTGTACAAATTAAAGCTCTCATGGGCTTTTTAAAAAGAGAGAAGCTCTATTAGGCTAGCACTTAACCAAAACTCAGAAACAGAAGAGAATTTAATTATTTATTCCTAGCTAATACAGGAAAAATTAATGTGACTAAATGCTAAGTGTTCCTTAATGAAAATTATAAACGTAATTGAACTTCATATTTATTAAAGGCAGAAATGTTAAAGAAACAGAGCCAGAGAGCTTCAGTTCTCTTATCATCTCTCTTTAATTATACTCAGTTTTTTAACCCAGAGGTTTCCACATATGTCTCCATTTCATGTATTCAGTAGATTGTATCTTCATAGGACATTTACTAGTAAGAGTTTTCTGACTGATTAAATAAAATAGGCTGGCAGTTTAAAAGAAAGTCACATCTGGTTTTTGACAGGAGTTCAGCTTTAGAAGAGTCTTTCCAAGCTTTTTATAAATGCCAGCCTTCAAAAAGCCAGTCTACCTTTTCCCTTTTTTTTTTTTTTTTTTTTTCTGACTGCATTGAGACAAGCCAAGACTGTAGATATATAGCAGGAGGAGGGAAAAGGTCAAATTAAACATAAGAGCAGTGAGGTTTATTTCTACCAACATTAGCTAAGGGTGTGCATTGACAAGAAACATAATTTATTAGAGATTAAGAGCAATGATGTAAAACACCAAAGGGTTGGAGTGGGTTGAGTGGGTATTATGTAACAAATCTGGAAATGTATAGCCAAATGAAAATTTTTGGCTGGTGAATATATGAAAGAAACTTGAATAATTAAGTTCAAAACAGAGAACAAATCAACTCAAAAATGGTCTAATTCATAAACTATTTGTTTAAAAGACATTTTTAAGACATTTAAAAGACTTAAAAATTAATGAATTAACTTAAGAAAAATTAGATAAATAATGTTGGTTCTAAAGGATAAAATTATAGAATGTTGACAATCCTATAATAATTTTTTAGTATTTTCCTTTTTGAAAATCTTTATTGTTGCCAAAACCGGTTTGGCTCAGTGGATAGAGCGTCGGCCTGCGGACTGAAGGGTCCCAGGTTCGATTCCGGTCAAGGGCATGTACCTGGGTTGCGGGCACATCCCCAGTAGGAGATGTGCAAGAGGCAGCTGATCGATGTTTCTAACTCTCTATCTCTCTCCCATCCTCTCTGTAAAAAAAATCAATAAAATATATTAAAAAAAAATCTTTATTGTTGAAAGTATTACATATGTCCACCTTTTCTCCCCCATCGCCCTCCTCCATCCCACTCCCGCCCCCCACCATTTACTTGAAAATATATAGCTTCCCTTCATTAGTTTTTGCATTCCCTCTTCCATCAGCATATCTGAGACTATTGAAACATTAATCTAAAAACTTCTTTTTATAGAAAGACCAAACATTGAATTTAAAACTTTCTTTATAAAGTATTTTGTCATAAAAACTTAACCAACAGCAGCAACACAAGTTGACAATAGATCTTACCATCTCCTGGGTCAATGATCTCCACTGTGGTCACCGTGGGAAATTCCAGAGCTGCCAGCACTGGTTCTGAGAGAACCACCTGGAAAGTCTCAGACTGCTCATGTTCCTCATCACTCATCATGTGCACTTTCCATGTGGCCCTGGTCTGGCCTGGGTTGAACTGCACTTGTTTCTGTGCTTTACCTTTGAAATCTTTGTCTTTTTCTGCAGTTCCATCTCTTGTGCCAATACCTACACAGAATCATAAAATCACTGTCTTAGTTTCATTTTTCAATTGAATTATTAAGGCTTTCCACATTAACTTTTTGTATATCACTTGATCATGCACTGCAAAGTAGACTCCATTCTGATTTCCTGAAATGGATAATTGGGTGTGGCTCCTACAATGGAAAGTATTCCACTGGAGGTGTTCATGATTCTATTCTACTCTTGCCCCATTGTGGTTTTACTATATATTCTTTTTTTTTTTTTAAATCCTCACCCGAGGTTTTTCCATTGCTTTTTAGAGAGAGAGTGGAAGGGAGGGGTGGAGAGGGGAAAGAGAGAGAACATCAATGTGAGAGAGGCACATTGACTGGTTGCCTCCTGCATGAACCTCAACTGGCTCAGGAACCAACCTGTAACTCAGGTACATGCCCTTGACCAGGAATCAAACCCGGACCCACCAGTGCTCAGGCCAATGCTCTAATCCAAGCACGTCAAACTCGCCGTCTGCAGGCCCCGTACCTCATTTATTTGGCCCGTATTAGCCTTTGAGTTTGACATGCTTGCTCTAATCGCCAACTCACACCAGCCCAGGGCTTACTATTTACTAGTATTCTTTAAGCTAAGTTTGTGTTAGAACTTCTACGATGGAATGCTAAATTTGCTTTGGGTGAAAAATAAAGATTCCCCTTTTATAACTAACATATAGTATTTACTATGAGGCAGTGCTAGTCTATCTTGTTACTTAAAGTATGGTCCATGGACCAGCAGCATGAGCAACATCTTGGAGATTGTTAGTAATGCAGTTTCAGCCCAACCCCAGGCCTACTGAATCAGAATCAACATTTTAGCAAGATCCCCAGGTAAATCTATGTGCATTAAAATCTAAGGGTCGATAGACACATATTACAGACTTCATATCTCCACAAGGTTCTATGTAAAATAGGTGCCCCATTTTAATAAAGGATGAAGAAATGATGTATAGATTCTGGAGGAAATATATTAGTCCGCACTTTAATCTAATGTGGCAGGTGAGACAGTTAAGCATACTCAATGTTCAAAACAATGCCCTTCCTTGGAGATAAAACATATTTAGCTGGTAAACTATATACATATATATATACATATACATATACATATACATATACATATACATATACATATACATATACATATACATATACATACATATATATGTATATATATATTAAATTATATTATTCAATGGGCAAAAAGAACTCTGGAAATTAAAAAAGCTTATAAATTGGTTTAAATGTATGCTTTTTTTAGAAAAATTGAGTATTAACTATGAAACAAACATATTACTTTTATATACTAAGTGATGCTACAACTCAGTCTTTTTATCTGATGTGGAAAAAAATGGCATGGAGGTTATGCAAGGTACTTTTGGAATGAGAGAACTGATTTTTTTATCTTACCTTGGCCACATGGAGGCTTTGGGATCATAGGCAAATTATTAACTTCCTCAGTTGTAGACAATGTAAGAGCACTATATGTCATAGTTGAGAGTCAGCTCTGGAGCCAACCTCAGTTCTGCCTCTTAGTAGCTGTGTAATTGTGGGCATAAAGCCTTTCTATTTCCTCATCTGTGTGATGAGGGATATAATGACATTCTTCTCATGAGGTTACCTATGCAAGTTATTGAGAACCAGGCCTGGCACATAATAAGAGCTCAATAAATGTTAACTATCATTATTATCACTTCATAGTCCATAACCTAATAAAGTGTCAGGCATTTAATAAGCACTCAATAAAACATTAATTGAGTTAGTGAACAGAGGGTTGTTCTAAGGAGTAAAAGGAAAAAGTATTTAATGTGCTTAATGAAGTATCTTTTATTAGCAAATGTTCAATAACTGGTGGCAATAAGATCCTTGATGCAAATCATTTTGTGAAATGAAATTATGCATTTATTAATGGGTTATAAATGTATAATCATTCCTGAGAAAATACATGTATAAATTTCATGTAATTTATAATTTACTAACTGTGTTCCAGAAGTTAAGTGTTATTTTGCTTTTAGCTATAATGCAAAATATCTAATTCTAAAAGTCCGTAAATGAAAGTGGAGGTCGTAGAACAGTAACATAAAACATATTCATTGTAGAGCTCCTATGAGATTACCTTTCACTTTAATCTGACCTTCATTTCCAGTTCTAGCATGAATGCTATTATTATCTCCCATGATTCACGGGTGTGGGCAGCACACAAAAGTCTTTCCAACTTCCTATCTCCTTAGGTTACTAATTAACATGTGAGGTTAATCAAGCAGAGTTATAAAACCTTTTTAAAATTGCTGGTGTTGATCTCACATAGAAAATATTAGTTGCATTGGAAAAATAACTTCACAAGAAAAAAAGACTCTTGTTTGACATTTTAACATTCAGCTTTAAAAAAAAAAAGCAATGGAGAGAAAAATCTGAAAATATTGCTTAAAAATATTTTTCAAATATTAACATTCCCATTGCTACAATGGGCTACTTGTGAGTGAATAAGTAAATATACTCATTAGGAGTGAGAATTCAAGTAAAATACAAATAAATGAAGGAATTATAAAGAATTATTAAAGCACTGTGTTTTTTAGTTATTCCTCTAATTTTCCTCTGATTTATTTCTAAGCACAAAGCACAGTGAAGACTAATTTCTCAATGACAAAAAGAAAGACAGGACCATATTCTAGTTCTGCAGAACATGTGTGTGTCCAGAGAACATGCTTCTAAAAGAGAGAGCAATAAAGCATTCACTATGCTCTAGGAAGGTTAAACACAGAAAGTGTAAATGACAGCCTAAGAAGAGGCACATGCAAATAAAGAAGATGGAAGCAAAGCTGCCCTTGCTGCAGGATGGGTCTGCAGGCAAACCAACCCCACCTAGATTCAGAGGAAACTTAAAAGGTCAGCAGACCCCAGCTGGCATGGCTCAGTGGTTGAACATTGACCTACAAACCAGGAGGTTAGTTACAGTTTGATTCTCGGTCAGGGAACATGCGCGGGGTTGCGGGCTCGATCCCCGGTTGAGGGCGTGCAGGAGGCAGACAATCAATGATCTCTCTCATCACTGATGTTTCTATCTCTCTCTCCCTGTCCCTTTCTCTCTGAAATCAATAAAAAAATTAAAAAGTAAAAAAATAAAAATAAGATGAGCATAGTGTGAAAACCCCTCTTGTAAAGTTACAAAACAAAGAGTATTTTTAAATTACAGGATAATTATTACCCAGCATCTGAACATCAGGGGAAATTATGGGGGGGCAGGTGAGAATTGTGACTGTGGCAAGGATGTGTGTATGTGTGTGCTCATGTGTGTGGATGGGGATCTACTATTTAAGGCATTTTAATTTTACAGACCAGTAAAATTTCCAAACAGCATTTTGAAGACATAAACACAATTACAACTTTTTATTCTGCCAAAATTTTTCTAGATTCATATCTTAGTTGATACTTTCACTCAATAAAAGCTCTTTTGTCTATGAACATTCTATCAGTCTAGATATATATAAAAATATGGTACAGAAAATATATAATTGCTTGGGGTGCTATTATTTTTTATCAATATACGAAATATTTTGTGCCAACTATATTACTGCCTAAAATTACCAATATACTTATTGGTTAAAATACCTATTTTACACTTACATAAAATTGAATGTGAGCTTAAACTGGAGTTTTAGAAACTTGCTTTTGACTCTCAGTTTCATTCAAAAGGGCAAAGCAGCAGAAAATGATTAGTATTTAAAACTTTTCTGTTGGTTCTTGAAGAAAAGTCACAACATATATCTTCTATGTAGTGCTTTTATGTAGTGTTGGGGTTATTGAAACTTTAGTGAGCATTCAAATGCAATAAACAAATAGTAAATTATATTTTAATAGTTAATATGGTACTGAATAGTTTTTTGTTTATTATTGAAGTAGCCTTCACATATGTTTTACACTGTTGTTTCCACATTTGTATCTTATGAATAAATTACATAATTGCCCACACTTATTTAAGATCTAGAGACATTTAACATTTTTTAACTTATGGGTGATTACTGACAGTTTTGTAAAGTTATTTTATATTAGAGAAAGATCATATGTAGATTTGAAGAGGTATATATTTTAATTCACATTTCTTATTTTTACAGCCTTTGTCTTGATGATTTAGCCTTGACATAAAACTTTTGGCATGTTTTTCTTTAGCAGTTAAAGGACATTTAAATGTCAACATCTGCCTGATCTTTAAAACTAGAGCAGTAAACTAAAAAGGTTTTAATCATTATAAAATTTTGAACTTTTGCTAGAAAACTGGAATTTTGTGACAGAAGTGAAAATTAAACTTACTTATAAATGAAGTCTCTCCCAAGTAACCTCTACGTTTAATAACAACATCGAGAAATTTGGAGTCCTCATTGATCAGGTAATATTCCTTTTCAAAGGAGATCCATGCCCAATTCAGGTGAAAATGCTGCTTGGTTAACTTGTTTCCACCTAAAAAACAAAAATTTAAAGCACCAAATTTGTGAATGAATGACCTTAAAAGTAGTCCACAGACTACTTTAATAATGCAACATGATGAACCTCTAGCCTGATTCATCAGGAAACAAAGAGAGAGGACCCAAATAAACAAAATCAGAAACTAAAGAGGTGAAGTAACATCTAACCCCACAGAAATACAAAGGATCATAAAAAATACTAAGAACAACTTTATTCCAATAAACTAGACATCCTGGATGAAGTGGACATATTCCTAGAAAAATACAACCTTCCAAAACCCAATCAGAAGAATCATAAAACATGAATAGGTCGATAACTACTGATGAAATTGAAGCAGTAAAACAACAACAATGACAAAAAACTCCTAACAAACAAAAGCCATGGTCCAGACGGATTCACAGGGGAGTTTTACCAAATATTCAAAGAACTAACACCTATTTTCCTCAAGCTATTACAAAAAATTTAAGAGGAAGGAACACTTCCAAACTATGTCTATGAGGCCAGTATTACCCTAATTTCAAAAACTAAATAAATACATGACAAAGAAAGAGCACATAGATGCTAAAATCCTCAACACAATTTTAGCAAATCAAATCCAGCAATACATTAAAAAGATCATATATTATGACCACATGGGATTTATTCTGGGAATTCAAGGATGGTACAATATTCTCAAATTAATAAATGTGATATAGCACATAAAAAGATTGCAAGACAAAAATCACATGATCATATCAATTGATACAGAAGAAGCATTCAACAAAATCCAACACCCTTTTTTGCTAAAAACTCTTAACAATGTGGGAATGGAGGGATCATACCTCAACATACTACAGGCCATATATGACAAACCTACAGCCAACATCATACTCAATGGGCAAAAACTAAAACCATTTCCCCTAAGAACAGGAACAAGACAGGGTTGCCCTCTTTCACCACTCTTGTCCAACATATCTTTGGAACTCCTGGCCATAGCAATCAGACAAGAAGAAATAAAAGGCATCCAAATTGGAAAGGAGAAAGTAAAACTCTCATTATTCTCAGATGACATGATATTGTACATAGAACCCTAAAGACTCCATCAAAAAAACTACTAGATTTAATAAATGAATTCAGAAATGTAGCAGACTACCAAATTATCACCTAAAAATCCATAGCATTTTTATACACCAACTAGTGGCCTGGTGCACGAATTCATGCACATTGAAAGGGAATTAATTAGAAGAAATACTTTAATACTGTTATTCGCCCTTTCTCTATCATAGAAGTGTCAGAGATTAAAGA